CCCCTTAGCTGTTTCTAAATTTTCCATTTCTACTGTTAGACCCATTAAAAACATCCATTTGACAGACAAAGATATTTCTCCTGATACCCATATAGCAAGTCTTAGTTACAGACCTGGTTTGAGGCATTCACATACTAGGCTACTCTTTAGCATGGTATGATATGAGGGAAGGATCCAAAATTCCAACCTCCGAATATTTCCTTCCCAATCTACCTTATGCCTAAAATTTCACCACTGAAAAGCCATTTTAAAGTCCAGGAATACCCTTATCATGTTCAATTACTCTGACAGGCCACCCATTACACCTATTTAATCAGTAAGACTCTCGAGAATTTAGCCAATCTTTTATTTAGGTTGCATAGCCAAGTGAATTTGGCCTTGGGGGCGCCATACAGACCTGAGCTGGATTCCAAGAGCCATTTTTCCTAGTGCTGTGAACTTGGGCAAGTCACTTCACCTCTGAGAGGCTCAGCCTTTTCATTTTTAAAAAGGGAATGATAAAGAAGTGAGGAGTACATAAAGAAAGAGGAAGTAAGGAATAAAGAAAGAATTAGGAAGTGAAGAGTAAAGAAAGAAACAGGAAGGGCACACTGTGTGGGGTCTGCCATGTGAACTGGGCTCAATAGTGGCTGGTCAGGGAGAGAGGGGTTGGGATAGATTTTCCTCCTAAGACTGAGAAGAGATTTAAAAACAAAAAAAAAAAAGAAAAACAAAAAACAAAAACAAAAACCAAAAACCAAAACACAACAGGACACATCCTGGGAAGGCAGCTCCAGGGACTGGGGTCACGGGGGGGAGGGGGTGTGTGTGTGTATGAGTGCGTGTGTTTTGTTTAATGAGCATCAGTGGAAACAATGAAAATACTGGTCATCTGGGAGAAATGACTGCAGTAGAGATGAAGAAACAACCATAAAAAGGAGCGAGGACCAGAGGAGGCGAGCAAGGACAGCCTTCTGTCTGCTCCGTTCATCTGCTGACAGCCAACTCTACCCACGGTTTTACATGTTTCACTCGAGTTCTGCCCTAACTTGATTACATATCAGGGCCTTGTAGTCATTATCTCAAAAGTGATATCTGAAGATCTTTGCCTGTGGGATCAATGAGTAATCGGGACGTACACATAAATCTCCACTTCGCTGAAGATCAAGCTGAACAGTTGCCTCAAATCTTTTTCTTGTAGCGGAAGGGGTCTGAATGTTAGATGAGTATGTAAAAGGAAAGCGTGAAGCCATTATCTCTGTGACATGTCCAGACATCACAACTGCCTATTTTTGGGGGGTGAGGACAAAAGTTTCCGTCAGTCTCATTTACCATTGCTTGGGGGAGAATCTATGCATTTGTGTTCCACAGCCATGGGACAGATGTGCTGTGGCTAAAGGCATATTTTTGAGCCCCACATTGAGGTACTTGTTTTCTAAATGATTTGTGAGTTCTTTTTATGTGGATGTTCTCAGGAAATTGCACTTTTTTCAAAAAATGAAGCTTAGATGAAAAAGATGAACCTGGAAATTTTATAATATCTGTCCATAGACCATGCTGACCCAGGTAACGCTTACTGGATCCCATAATGAATAACAACTGTTAGCCCCACATCTTAATTCACTCACGTCAATCTTTTTGAACTTCCCCTTAAGTAAAAGCCATGTAAATGGGAAGCAAAACTGCGCCCACAATAAAGAGAGGAGACTCAGATAGGGCCCATACTGAGTTAGAGACAGGTCTTGATGTTTCCCTCCACTCTTACCTCCTTCTATCCTTATCTTGGATGAACAAATGTTGAAGATGGATCTTAAACAGCAGTCAGGAAACTGTAAGATTATGAAAGGAAGCTATAGTTCTTGAGCACCTACTATGAGCTAGCTAGGCATTTTATGGGCACCAACTCATCTGAGTTATGATGTAAGAACACAATGCAGTAGAATTCTTTTCTTTTACTTTACAGTCCAAAGCAGCAGAGGCTCAGCTTGGTCAGGGTGCACATTAGTAAGCAACAGAACTGTTATTCAAACTGAGTTCTCGTGACTCCAAAGTAGGTGTGGGCTGGGGCCAGGATGTTCCTGAGGTTTGGAGGTCTTCTGTCTCCTGGAGGTAGGGGCTTAGTTCTAGGCTCAAGAGACCGAAGGAAATAGAAATGGTAAATCTCTGCAACACATAGGTCCTCCTGGGGAGACACAGGGGCGGGAAAGCAGCAGGGCAGAACTCTTCAGAAAATGAGGCACTACATTTTTGAGAGATGTTATATGGGGTTGGGTGGTGAAATGCTCTCAGAACTATTCAAAATTATTATAAAGCAGCTTTATCTATCATACAGTTTTCCAGGAGATGGGATGAGAGGCAAGCCACAATGTCAGCCATATTACTGGTGGATGAGACCATGGTAGGTACTTCCTGGAGTTTCCAGAAAATACCTAGCGAGGGGTCCCATGGACAGTAAATGACCTTCATGCCATTGTAAATAAGCATTGGGGCCAGGGGTGGTCCACATCCTACTCAGAAGAACAAGGAATAGCATTTTCTCTCCAGGCCACCGGGGATGTCTGCAATACAATAAAAATGATGCCTTAGCCTTGATGGGATAGCTAAAATGCAAACATGTTTGATACATGCCATTTTCCAAACTTAGCTTCTTCTACCCTGCTTTAGGATATCCTAGGCAAGATCTCAGACAACTAAAGATGAATACATCATTTTCAAAAGTCCTTAACATAGAAAGCACAGATCTGTGACTTTGGCCACCTGGAAAGGTCCACAGCAGATTACCATGCCATAGCCAGAGTAGGTCCCAAAATGGACATGGTACCTCCACAGCTCTTATCTGACTGAAGTGCACAAATGTGGATTGGAAATGACATGATTACTAATTTTCTGAGGGGAAAAAGGGGAAATCCAGTATAGTGACTGGGTAAAAAGTTAGTAATAAAAGGTAAGTCACCCAGACAGGGAGTTTCCTGAGCAAGCACAACCTGGCAGTTTTTAGCCACGTTTCTTTCATGGCGTTGTCTTAGTCAAGTTGATAGACATCTGACCCAGTGCTGGACCACCTACTGAAACCACCTCTTGTCATTACACCAGGTAGGGACGTCAGCAAGAAGCCTTTTCAGTACGAGTAGCAACTCGCTCTTCAAAACAACTCTCCACACTTCAAACTAAACAAACGACTCAGTAAACTATCATCGAATAACAGCTTTATCAGGATGGAGTTTGAGTAATCTCTGAATCAACAAAATCTGGGGAATGTGTGTACAAAATATTCATTACACAAATGTCAGGCCACAAAGTCAAACTCTTTTCTGAGATGCTGCTAAGAAATTTTAATCCAGCCAATACAGGAGAGGAAGAGAAACCCAGTGTCACGCTTGCTTCCACCCTTCAGCCTCCTCTTCCTTATGCAAAGATCAAAAAAGCAAAGTTTAGACAGAATTATTTTAGTTGTTTCCCAGAAAGAGCAAGGTAGTCTTTCCCCATTAGTTTGAATGGGAAGCTCCTTCTGTGACCTGCTTTAACTGCTGTGGGTGAAGGTGGATCACCACACAACTCACAACTACAATACACATGGCATCATTGTGTGGTTTTAACATTGCTGGGTACAAGCAACAAAGTCCAAGATTAAGAGGGTCATTTATTGCCTGTTGAATGGAATGTTTCAAAGTGAAATGGTTCAGTCACATAATTAGGGGAAAATAAAAGAATTAAAATGTACACTCACATACAGAATTAAGTATGCTTACAAAGTGATCAGTGCAGGGAAATATAAACAACAATAACCCGAGAGTACACAGTTAGTTGGATGGTCACAGAAGACCTAAAACATCATTTCCTTGATTTATGTTGAAACGCGGGTCCTGCTATGTCAACATTGCTGTCATAATTGTCCAGGATGCTGGTACCACAACTTTGAATATGCTTCAGAACCAAAGAGAGTTAAATCAAATGCTAGCCTGCTCACTCCTTACCAGCATGTGATGTGGGCAAGTATCTTATTTCTGAAACTGTCCTATAATCTATATAATGAGGACTATGGCTGTCCCCATAGGTTTTTACAGATATAATAAAATTTCATGTAAATATTTGGTCCTGGCACATATTGTATCCTTAATATCACTCCTACCCTTCCGCTCCTTCCCTCCACCTTTGGGCAGAGAGATATTGTGTGTGTGTGTGTGTGTGTGTGTGTGTGTGTGTGTGTGTGTGTCTTTAGTTTTGAAATTATGCCTATATGTAACAGGCAAACAATATATACTCCTTGCCATTTATTCAATAGCAAACATTGATTACTTACCTTTTTGTACTGTCTAATCCAGAAGTTCCCAAACATTCTTGTTTCATTATTAATCTATCAGTAATTTTTAACAGCACTATTAGGCTAAAAGAAATACCTAACCGTTCTGTTTATTAATAAGACCCAAATGATTTCATAAGTATTTATGTCCTAGCATTTTAGTATATTTAAAAAAAACACACACAGAAACAAAAAATATTTTTTTTTCTCAAATGATCACAAGCACTTACTACTGACATGCATGTGCCTGTTGGGAACCTCATAACTCCTCAAACCCCGGCATTAGATTGGAAACCCCCACCCTCATTTCCTGCTCCACACTGTACCACAAGGTACTGCTTTATATTATAGCAACTGACAAAAACCTAACTTCACAAAGGTATGACGTCACTAAGGAGAATGTCATGCATTCCAATAGTGAAACTGAACTATCTTGAGCTAGCCGTTCACACGGTATCTGACAGATGTCAAGAATTGATGTATTTTCCTCTACTATTTAAAAATATTTCCTGGCACTCTTTTGAATTTGCTGGAACATCCAGGGTGCCTTGGCTCACTGTCTGGGAACCAAAAGGCTAATCAACCATTTCAAATCAGGTTCTTTTTCTGTGTTACTGTATCACAGAAGTATGAGTTGGACATTATAGATAAATCTGAATAGTAGCAGAACTGCTATAATGGGGCCCTAACTATATTTCTCTTTTTTTTCTTTTCTTTTTCTCAGAGGATAGTGTGAGCACAGTCCCCCACTACCACACATTATGTAGCTGAGTTTCCCGCATTTGGAGAAATTGCAGGGGTCAGCATATCCGGGGTGCAACGGATAAGGCTCGCCCTGGGAAAACCACCTTCGTGATCATGGCATCTCCCCTGCCAGGTAAGTATACATACAGGCTTCCCTTTAACTTTTTAGTATTTAACATTTCACCTTTTAAAATCTGTCCTAGTAATGTCATACGGTTACCAGATAAATTCTGCAATGAAGGTTCTGAGGACTTAAGTATCTACCAATCTCAATCTTCAGTGTTGTTTACCTCAAAGAATCATAGAGTAACTCAAAGTTTATCCAGTGAGCCTTCTCATCAGTAGGAATTTGTGAGTTGTGGATCAGCTTCCTCTATTCATTCGGGATGAAGAAAGGGATTTGCCTTTTATGCGTGAGTCAAGCTCATCACTTAAGAACTCTGCTTGCATGTTTGTTGTTTGGCATCTAGAATCCAGGCCTAGGGAAGCAGCAGGGCTTGCCACTGCTCCCATTCAGACACTATTCTATGTTGTTTTTATAGGCATGTCTCTAGAGCTGAAAGATGGTTTAAACCTCATTCAGGAAGACAGTGGTAAGGAGAGGTGCAGTGGGGCAGACAATATATGCTGCACATATGTAACAATGGCTCTCTGAGAGAAAAAACCCTGCTTTGTAGCATAGGCCAAATTCTACGTCACAAAACCCCCCACCGCGGATGAGTAAGGTCGCTGATTTCAGCGCTGGGAAAAGAAGCGCTCCATCAGCTCTGGAGAGGAGGCTCCAGCCCACCATCTTCTCTTCTACAGCTTCCTGAAGATGCTCAGGCTTAAGAAACATGCTCTTTGCTAAAAGGAAGTATGCAAATGTTTGGATTATTGGCTCCTAATTGGGGATTTCTCCCAGACACAGTAAATAAAGTAAAAAAAGAGAAAAAAAGAGTTCTTTGGAGGAAAAGTGGGCTAATCTGGAGCATTTTATGCAGGGCATGTATTCTGATCTTCGCCTCAGAATGGGGAAACCATCCTGACCTTGCTGGCTTAGCCTTGCTGCCCAGGGAAATCAAGTCAACAGGAATTCATCAGGCACCAACCAGAGGCCCAATATTTCATTAGTAGTTTTGGAGGATACCCAGGAGACAACAGTGTCATCTCTGTCCTGAGGAGCAGATGATGTCACTGGGGCGAGGATGCTTATGACACACGAAGGAAGCAAAACCCAGCTCTGGACTCTCATTGCAACTTTAGAGTAAGTGAAGCAACACTGTCTATCTCGCTGGGGTCACTGTTGGCAGAGATGCGCAGGATCCACTGTTTTTCCACTGCTAGTCACATTTATGGGTTCCGCTGATCTCTTTGGCGAGGAGTTTGGTATCTAACATCTTCCAGCCTCCTCCCACCCCGTGTGAGTCAGTGGCCTCTGAGTCCTAGGTCTCCCCACTTTGTATCATGCTCCTCAGTTTCTCCAAGGACACGACCAGGTACTGATTTTTAAAATTCTGCTTTATTTTGAAATTCAACTGACAAAAATATTACATTCCACCGGCTCTCTCCCTAAATGCTGTGCAATTCAAGGTGGCAAATTTGGAGACTGGCCATTCACAGGTGAGTACGCACTGAAATATACAGAAACACAATAGCTCTTGCAGGGGGGATTACCTCCCTGGGGACCCTGGATTTAAAATTATGAAAAACAGAACAAGGCCAGTCTAAAAGTGCTCATAACAGTGACTTAAGTGAGGTAGCAATGAGTATAATACCTTCTAACATGTTAAAATTTCCAGGCAAACCTGTGTTATAAAATGCTTTGTTGTTCCATTGATTTGATAAGCCTGTGGGGTACATTTTGCATTCATATATAGTGACATAGAAAGTACCGTGTTTGCTTTGAAAAAGGAAAGGTCAATAATAATAATCCTTGGGTTACTATGATTTCTCCATCATTTATATTGAGTGCCTTCTAATTCCGGACCTTAAGGTCCATGCTGGGAAAAGCATTTGTTCAGCCCTTGAGGAGTTTTCAGATGAGTTACTAGGCATTGATGTCCTTTGGACCTTTTCAAATACTATATAACTGCAGTAATCTATGTGAAACAAGCCAATTATTACACATTTTTGCATTTATCCTCTCCAAGACGCATCCGGCTTTTACTACAGACCTCCTCTCTCCTGAGGTTTACCTTTATGATCTGAAGGTCCTTCTTGGGACAGACTACAACTTCAGATACAAAGTGTAGGGAGTAGGATGAGCCTTTCCCCTAAATACTGATTTGTATGGAGGTTAAGGAGCTTCCTTGCTGGGGAGGTAGACTTGAACTTTAGCAACACTGGGGCTTCAGACAAATAGGGTGGTTTGAGGAGGGTAACTGAGATGAAAGTCAGGAGACCAGAATGAAAAATAAGGGTCACTGCAGGAGAACCTGGAAGGGCCCATTAGACTCAGCCACAGTCTGAGAGCCCCATGGGAAGTTGTTCAGATGGGTCAAATGTTCTTTATTATGGTGGCTAGTATTTGAACCCGTCCAGCCCTGCCTTCCAGAGCCTCTATATACCTTGGGGAGAAAAGGGCTTATGTATATACTGAAAAATTCCCTCACTACAGTCTAGAACATATGGGGGCTCAAGCTACATTGCTAAGAACTCTTTGGGGTTCAAACTACTTTACTAAGGTAATATGCTCTTAAAGGAACCCAGAGACAAAAGTCTTTTTCTCACTTCATTGTAGGCTGCTGTTCTGTTATGGTAACAAAGATGTGAGATGTCTGGTGGCGAGGGCCAGCAATCAACCATGAGAAGGAGATGTCTACGAACAGTAACAGTCAAGAAAAATAAGGGTGGTACGGTTTGGGGTGGGCAAGGCCAATGTTATGGCACTAGTGGGACACAGAGTAGCAAGCAAGGTTCAGTGGTGAGTGGAAGCCCAGATTAATTCCTAAACACTTAAAATGCCACTTTGGGAGCACAAGGGGATGTTGAGGTTGGGATACGCTTTGTAAGGGACTGTGTTACCTGCACTAGCGAGTGAGGCTGTAGTCTTCCTGTCAATGAGACTCATTCATACCTGCGGGCTAGAAGGCTTGGAAACATTTTGGTTACATAAGCTTGCATCAGGCCCTCCTCTTCTTTTAACTGACATGCAGTCTTAGCCTGGTTATCAGCTCTGATCTTGGACCACTTCCCTGAGTCACTGTGCAACCAAGTTCTCTCTCTGAAAGGCGGGCAGAAAAGTAAATTTACTGTTTTCCTCCAGAGAAGCCTGAGATTCCCTAATTTGCATTGCTATGTGAGTGCAAAGCACGATGATAAAAACATAATTCTTATGACACGTCAAAGACAGCTCATTAGATCAATTTTTTTTTTCCTGTGTATGTGTTTTTTTTCTTTAAAAAAAAAAAACATGGACCATTGTGCTTTCTTTCAAGTGACAGGAGGTGTGACAGCTGCTCTACGAGGTATTCAATGGTTAATTAAGACACCAGTGTCATCGCTGAGCTCTTTTGTGTTTCATAGAAAGCAGTTGCTAAACAGATGAAAGTAGGTCTGAGGCAAGGGGTAGCATAACTATTATTTCATTAATAAATAGCTCTAAAAGTGAGGGAAGTGATAAAGGCCTCAAGAGCGTCTGTATCTGCCCCGGTTCTGTCAGGAAAATTAAACAGAGCACTTGTGATTGCCATTGCTTCTGTTTAAGAGATCCAAGCAAGTTGGGTCACCTGTGCTGAGCAGGTTCGAGTTTGCCTGGTTCTTGGGGCACCCCCTAGTGACACATTCCTACACCCTGGCACCTGCGCGTCACTGCTACAGAAGGGATTGTGGCAAATTCACTACTTTTTCTTCCCCTCCCACCCCTTCCTCCTTTGCCCTCCCCCCACCTTCCACCAAAGAATCCCTAAAATGCATTTTCAGACAAATATCAGGGAAGCATTTATAAATATTTCAGAGGCGTTTCATAAATAAGTAAGCAAATCTACAAAAAGACTTCCCTCTTTTAATGAGAGCTTGCCTGTGGTGTATGCCTTTTATTGGTGCATCATTAAAAAACCAATTGGGAAGATTTTTACGCTGGACTCTCTTTTGGGGGGTTTCATAACATATGAAAAAAGCATGCTATGCATCTCTGAAACATGTAGCCTTGTCCCTGACAGATTAGGCAGTTCTGGCACAAGGGAATAGCTTTTACTCTTTTTAAAGTAAATACTAATCAATAGCAACTGTACCGACAAAACCTTCTTGCCGCCTAATTGCACCACAGTTACTCATAGACTCCAACAGAATTTTCCCCTGGATGTAACAAAATTAACTACCAGGGGCTGAGCTGGTGAGTTATCACCATCTCTCTGTTCAAATGTAATTAACACAACCCCCCAACTGCCTCACGTGCCATTAAAGTACCATTTGTTTGTGTAATTTCCAAACAGGGTCTGAAGGTCATGCCCACATCAATCTTTTTAACACATTCATCTGCACACGGAATCAAACTGGCAGGGAGGTGGTCCTAGCTGTTATAGGAAATCTCTCCGTCTGAAATCTTGTTTGTAGTTGCTCTTCTGCAGCTTAATGCCCTCTGTGGTCTCTTCGGCCGTGTCAGAAAAAACCAGACTGTATCCGAGGCAAACAAGTAATTGAAGCTGCCTTTGCAAGCGAACCTGGTACCCAGCTCTGGGCTGAGCCAGCTGCGGGACATACAGGAATCTTATCAACAGCTCAGGATGGATACTCTGACTACTTTAGTTAATGATAACTACTTCTTTTTATCACACATTAAGATTTTTGAAGGGCTTTTACCTACATTTTTCTAATTCATTATTATGGTTGGCAATTATTGTAATAGCGGTGGCCATTTAGGGAGCACTTGAGCTAAGAGCTTTATGTATATACTTTATCATTTAATCCTTACAAAAACTGTATGAGTGAGGAATCATTACCCTCTATTTTAAAATCAACAAAACTGAGGTTCACCAAGTGACTCCAAGTGCTCCAAGCTGTCAGAACGATGGAGCACCAGGATGCAGACTCAATTTTCTAACCCTGCAGCTCATGCTGGACCACTTAACCATTTTTGGAGGAAGGGAACATCATCATCACCACTGGCAGCATCAGTCTCATCTTCATTTTATACATGTGGCAGATGAGGCACAGAAAGG